GCTAAAGAGAATTCAGCAAATGCCCTCATTTTCATAAATTAAAATTCTTAGACCTGTTGATTTGGGCTTGACTCTGTCAACACGCTTATACTTCCCCGCTCATTTTTACAGCATCTCATTAGTAAATATTTAATTTTCTCTATAAAAACTTCAGAAACCATTCACTACATGCTGTTGGAATGATCACACTTTGGGACCTTTGGTGTGATTAAATGTGAGATAAAATTAAAACGGAAAGCACTGCCTGGTCATGTTTTCAAAGTTACTCTACACCAAACCTAGCACATCCCTTAGAAATGAGTTCTCTAAGTCCTTGGCCATGTCCTACTAGTCTGGGAAAAACAAAATAAATAAATCCAGGAAAATTCATGCCTCTGAGCAATAATGAACCCAAATAAGTGTGCCTATACTACTGGGAAAGTAGTGGGTCGAGTATAGTTGGCTAAATACGGGCACATTAAAATTGCTATTTTTGACCCAGATACGATACGTAGTCGTTCCATCCTTCCCCCCTTCCCATCTTTCTGATGACAGAGGGTGAATTTGATGCTTAAATTCAGTATCAATAAAAGTGAATGGCAGACAATGCTTAGAGAGTCTCAAGCCCTGAGGAAGTGCTAACAACAGACTACTTAGGTGAAAATGGTTTTTCAGGAGTATCAATCATTACTTCTTTACATATGGGTAGCATGTAGTGATGATTGCAGTTGGTGTCCATATACATGTGCCTGCTTGGTACAAAGACACGTCATTAAAAAACCATGGCTTGCTTAATTCATACTCAGGAACTCACTGTTAGAGTGTGTATTAAGATAAATAGGTGCAGAGGACTACGCAACACATCTTGTTCTCGGTATGGTTAGTTAGATCATTATCATAACCTAGTGATTAGTGATTATCTAGTGTTTAGTATATTTGCCAAGGATTAAAATCTAATGATTTAATCTCCATTAAAAATTCCTGAGACAAATTGTCCTGCTCATGTCTCACAGATGAGGAGTTGTAGGCTCCGCAGGCAGAGACAGGGTTGGGGCTGCCCCGTAGTCCCCTCTGCTTCTCTCTCTTTATCGGTTAATAGAAAAGCTAACAAAGAGGTGATACTGAACAATAACCTGATAATTTTTCAGATAATCGAAAATCCAAATATCATTCAGTTATCTTCTTCTTTGGCAAGTAGAGGAAAACCAGAACGGACTAAAGAGTAAACACTGTCAAAAGCAATCTCTGAAAAATTACACTGTTCCCCCCACCACACACACAAACACCCTGGAAAGATCCATTCTTGTTTCACAAGGCAAAGAAATATGGCCCACCTCACAAGTAGCTAAATTGCCAATGTGCCTGTTTTCCGTATAAATTTAATTACAGAATAATATATACTGACTCATACATGCAAAAAAAAAAATGAGTCTTTAATATCTTCAAAACTGGTAAAATTAATTCCTACTTTTCAACAAGCAGAATTATTTCATTTTAGGAAGGAAATGGGAAATGCAAAAGTAGTTACTTATAAAAACTACGGGAAATGCTTCTTGCCCCGTCTGCCACTGTTCTCTGCCCTCGGGGCTCCTTATGGGCATCTCCACGGAGGAGGGGGAAGCCCTGCTGGACCCGCAGCAAGGGCCCCTTGGGATGCTTCAATTGCACCAGGCCTACTGCGGATGTGTTCATTGGAATCAATCGGGACATTTTCCTTTAAAGAATTCTGCCTGCTGCTTTTAGAGAGACAAGAAAAAGAAGGAGAAAAAGGAAAAGTTTAAAACTAATGAAGATTCTTAAGAGCGCCAGCAGATGGCGCTCTTTACTGCAGGGAAAGGATGCTGTGGCCTCTGTTCTGCACATTCACCACCCCGTGAAGTTTCCTACTCTCAGTGAGAAAGCCAGTGTGAAGGCCAGATTCCCTACGCCCGTTTTCCTGGGAACTAAATCCCAATGATAAATTTAAATCTTATTAATGGGTCTGTCTCGAAAGCATAATAATTATTAAAATTATTTTCATTTTTTACTGAGAGAATGCAGTATGCTGCGCATGACACGTGTGACTTTTTTTCCCCCCCAAGTACCCTGGAAAAGTTGGAGTGGTCGCTATCCTCAGGTCATGGCCACCCATCATAAGTTTTTGCCTTAGCTCCGTTTCCTTAACTGCTTATTTAATTATTGAATCCATTTGTCTCGATAAAGCATTAGATTAGCCGGACAGGGTGACACACGCCTGTAATCCCAACATGCCGGGAAGCAAAGAGAGAAAAAGTTCAAGTGTGAGGCTTGCCTAGGTGAGACCACGTCAAATAAAACGTAGTAAGTTTAAGTTACTTTTATAAATTTGAAAAAATAGAGGGTTCTTTCTGACAGATAATTGTTCTCGTTAGTCAGTGCAGGTGGGCTGACCTGCATCTCTGAGAAGGCCTGCTAGCACCTAGGGACACGTCCACAAACCTACATAGTCGTGGCAGCGGACACAAGGAGAGGAAAGTACGAGGCTTGTACTCTCACTAGAAGCGTGTCACGGTGTACAGAGAAACAGAACCATGGGGGGACAGGGTGTGGACTGTATTTAAATCCACCTGGCTTGTTTTGCAAGTATTTTTATCAAATTTATTTCAGTAATCCTCTCAGAATCCCCAGGGCTATGACGAAGCACGCACCTGCTTCCCACGCCAGAGGTGCACACACTCCAGGACAAATTCCTTGAACCACACCTAACAATTTCCTTTTGTCTTCATTTATATTTCTCAGCTGTTTCTTTCACCTTTAAATACGTGAAATACTGGCATCCCAGCTGGGCGTGGTTGCACCCATCTTTAAGCCCCACACTCCAGAGTCAGAGGCAGGTGGATCTCTGTGAGGCCAGCCTGGTCTACATAATAAGTTCCTGAACAGCCAGGACTATGTCGAGCAAAGCAAAGCAAAGCAAAACAAAGTATTGGCATCCTAATGTGACAAAAATTTATTTAATTCTTCAGCCGCTCTCTCTCTCTCTCTCTCTCTCTCTCTCTCTCTCTCTCTCTCTCTCTCTCTCTCTCTCTCTCACACACACACACACACACACACACACACACACACACACACATGCACACACACACACACACACCCCCACACACCCCCACTAAAGTCTACTGCTCCCAATATCGGTTACAGCTATATATTACTTTATAGCAAAGTGTTATTCTCAGAAGTTGCAATTTTATTTTATTTTCTCTTCGGGTTTTGTATTGATTTCACCTACCAACCTACAGTGACTTCATTCCCCTTCCTGTACGGCTTTTAGCAGTTTCCCCAAATTAATAGCAGTAGAAGTTTTTTTTGAGTTTTAGGCTGGCTCTGTTTGCTTGCTGCTCCCTCGCACACAGAACGCTGCATTTTTTCTTCGCTGACACATCCCTCAGGAGGCTCCACTTTCCACTCTGCTTAATGCTGATCCTGATGGCACATCTGGGGGGCTGGGGTTTCTTTTTTAGTAGAAATCTGCTTGTTTTGGTCCTGTTGGGCTACTGACAGGATTTCCTAGAATGAATGTCTTCTTTCCTGGTCTCACTGTCACTTTCATTCACGGTCCCCAGAGTCTTCCTGAAAATCAAGTAAAAGAGTCAGGTGTGAATCTGTGAGGACTTCAATGTTTTTCCTCTCTTCAAATTAAATTAGTAGTATAGTCAGGCATATAATTCTGATTTATATGACTTCCTCTCGTGTGTGTGTGTGTGTGTGTGTGTGTGTGTGTGTGTGTGTGTGTGTGTACACATGTGCACACACACACACAAGAGTGACAATGTCTCACTGCGTACTTCAGGCTGGCTTCAAACTGAGACCTGCCTCTGTTTACCAAGTACTAGGGTTGTAGGTCTCATCACACAACAGCCTTCTAAGGAGTTCTAAGATGTTCCACATCCTCCAGCACGCCATGCTTCAGATGATAAACTAGAAATGTATCCAATCAATTTAGAGAGAGTCACAGAATTATTGCTTTTCTTGGGAGCATTATTCCAATTGTGTTTTCAAAAATAGATTCCTCGAACAGAGAAGGTTTTCAGGAAAATGAAGTTTATACCCTTGGCTTCAATATATTTGTAGCAGGACATTACCTGCTTTGGTCTGTGGGATAGATGCAACTATTTTGTGTTGCTGTGAGATTGAGAAATGCTATGTGTGAAGACCTGGAACGTTTAGCGCAGAGTACCCCATTAGATAATCAGGATTCTTTTATTATTATTATTTTTCATTTTTCTAAGCTTTGCTTTTTAGAGCATAAAATAGTGATGCTGATTAAACAGCCACTCATAAATCAAGAAATGGAATTTGTTTAAATAGGTGTTTCAGTTAAGCAACTGATTCACAGATGACTTTCTAAATGATCTAGTATTCCCTAAAGTCTTCCACAAGAGAAGGTGAGCATCAGAACTCTGAGGAGCTGGAGGGAATAACAGTGCTTGATTCTCATTATTCTACTGCACTTAGACCCGAGGAGGGAAAGATGCAGAAGAAGTGCTGTGAAGTCATTGTTGCTTCTTATTCATGCATGCGTGCATATGTGTGTGTTTGCATTGTGTACCTGTGTATGTGCATGTGTGCAAGTGTGGATGTGAGCACACATGTGTAAGTCAAAGACCACCTCAGATGTTATTCCTTAGGGTCTCTCGTTGGCCTTCTATTCATTGATTAGACTAGGTTGACCAGCCAGTGAGTCTCCAGGATTCACTTCTCCAGCTCTGGAATGACAAGTGTCCGCTATCAAACCTTGATTTTTAAATATAGTTTCTGGGGATCGAACTTGGGTTTTCACGTTTGCAAAGCAAGAGTTTTGCTGACCAAGGCATCTCCCCAGCTCCTGTCTTAGTTTCTTATTAACAACTATAGAAAACTTCTGGGTAAAGGAAGACTTAAAACTCAACATTAGAACATATCCGGTGATATGTTTCAGTAATGTGTATGTTTAAAAGAGTGTTCTTTAATTTTACCCTCAGCCATTTGTAAATTTAATCTTGATATTTTATATTTCCTTTTAGATTCGTTTTGCAATAAAAACCATACCGGGTGCCTCTCAAATTCTTGCCAAAACAGTTCTGTGTGCAAGGGTTTTCCACAAGACAATTGTTGTTCGGACATAGACAGTGATTTGGTCAAAGACTGTGAAGATGGGAAAGACCCTTGCTTCTCCAGTCCCTGCCAAGGAAATGCCACTTGTGTGAGCACCCCAGGAGAAAGAGGCTTCCTGTGCCAATGTCCTCCTGAGTACAGTGGACTGACCTGTGAAACTGTCATCGATTCCTGTGGAGGGAACTCCTGCCAACATGGCGGCACTTGCCATAAAGACCCTGCGCACTTGGTCTGTATTTGCCCTGCTGGATACACTGGGAGGTTCTGTGAGACAGATCACAAGGAGTGTGCTTCCAGCCCTTGCCACAATGGGGCTGTGTGCCAGGATGGAGTCAATGGCTACTCCTGCTTCTGTGTGCCTGGATACCAGGGCCGGCATTGTGACTTGGAAGTAGATGAATGTGTTTCTGATCCCTGCATGAATGAGGCTGTGTGCCTCAATGAGATAGGGAGATACACTTGTGTCTGCCCTCAAGAGTATTCTGGTAAGTGCAATTACATCAGCACCCTGAGAGCATGATTGGTTTACTCTTCCTTTCATATTCAATAATATAAATGTCTAATCACTTATGAAAATGGCCAAGTCCTGGAAGGTACTAATAACTAGAAAGAAAACTTGCTAAAAACTGAAAACTTAGTGAATTCACTGAGTTTGTGAGCAGGTGTGAATCATCATTATTGCGGTTTCAGTCAGAGTTCTACATAACCGCAAGCTCAGATTCAGGTTTTACAAATGTTAATTACTATTGCTTTGTGTACAGATGGCATATTTAAATAAAACCTGTCTATTCATTGATAGATACTTTGCTTTCTACCATACCTTGGCTATTATGAATAGTGCTTCAGTGAATGAGAGAAGGCAAGTGTTTCTTTAAAATACCCATTTTAAGCTATCTATTCAGTAGTGGGGTGACTATATCACATGGTAAACTAATTTTCAGGGTTTTTTGAGGTTCTTCCATACTGCTTTCCAAAATTCATAACATACCAACAAAAGAGAGTTCCCTTTCCCTCAAAACTTTCCCAGTACTTACCGTCATTCCTCATTTCCAACACTGCCAATATCACAGTTGTAAGATAATACCACAGTTTGTATCCTCTGGTGACTAGAAATGTTGAAAGTCTCTTCATGTACCTCTTGGTCATTTATATTCTGCATTTGGAGCATTTTGGATGAGCCTACAGGACACTGTATTAAGTGAAGTCAGTCAGGCACAAAGAGCCAATCTCACACGTGGAATCTAAAATGGCTGACACAAAGAACAGGCTATGAAATGGTGGCTGCCGTAGACTGGCAGACAGTGGAGCATGGATAAGGAAAGAGAAGATGTTGGTAAACGAGTACCAGGTGACAGCAGGTAAGGGAAATGAGTTTTAGGGTTCTATTGCATGAGAACTATACTAGATAATAGTACGTATTTCAACCAACCATAAGAAGAATTTTAAGTGTTCTCATCACAGAAAGCAAAACTTGTACTGTTTAGCTTGATTTTGCCAGTCCACAGTGCATACACATGTTTAAACATTATAGTATATTCATAAAAATCTACACTTATTTCAATTGAAAATAAAATAAAACTTTAAAACAACAAGAATGACAAATACCTTTGGATTCAGCCCATGGGCTTCATGGGACCACTTTCAGGATGAGACAGTTGTGGTTTTCTGTTCCTTCTATTTCTTCAGCTCGGCCTCATGCCTACCCTTGTTGGCCCAAAGCCCCATATTTCATGCAGCCTATTAGGAAGGCAGTGTACAAATTGGTAGGTTCCAGTGCTTAAGAATGCTCTAGCAGATAAATGGCAGCAAGCCAGTTCTTAGTTCATCTCTTAGAAAGATGGAATAATGGTACATCACATTGACTGCTCACAAAGTTTCGATGATATATTTTTGCATTTTTAAAAATTAATACAAATTTTAACAATCTCATATATATCTATAATTACCCTCTCCCACCACCCATTCCTATTTCCCTCCCATCCCTATCATTCCTCCCTTCTCCAAACCGGGTCCCTGCCTGGATTCATGACTTTCTGCTTTTTTTGGGTTTGTGACCTCTTTAGTCTAACCAGGTGCATCTCTGGGCACATGGGAATGGAATTATTCTCATTGGCGGGGTCACTAGTGGGTACACAAATAAAAACAATGGCTCACACTCTTCTTGATTCTATTGGGTGCAAATAGGTCAGCAGTGAGGCATAAGAACACCCGAGTCCCTGCCTGGCTGCTGACGCAGTACAGGCTTCCCAACTGCTCTAAGTCTGTAATTCTAATGGCTGTGTCTTATCCAAAAGATGGCATTTTGCAACTCTTCTCCTTATCTTCCAGCAATTACTTGCTTTCCAACCCCTCTTCTGAATGTTCCCTGAGCATTAGAAGGGATGGGATAAGTGTCCTATTTAGGGCTGAACATTAATTGAAATATTTTCTATAGTCTAAATTTAGACATAAAGAATGTCAAGGATATATTCAAAATATGAAAATTATTGAAATTTTTTCCAACAATGCACTTCTCTCTGCAATTAATTCATTTACGCAATGCATTACATGATGTCTGTTCTGGGCTCAAAATAACCAACGTTCTTTGCCTCGTAAAACACTGAAATGTAACAATAAGTCCACTGATAAAATGGTGTTGTTCTCATAAGGCTATATTTTTCTCTTGTTTTCTAAGCAACCAGACACATTTTTATAACTCAGCTTTTCGTGAGCCATATTTAAAATGTAATTACAAAATAAAATTTATATGAAATACACATCAGGCCATAAGAAGCATGACTATTCATAGCTGGCTGGATTTGCTCAGCTGCAAGAATACAGTCAAAGGCTCATTCGTTCATCAGTCACCTACAGAGTAGAGTAGCCTGTGTTCTGGTATCCTATCCTGGCTCTCATCCCTGAAATACCAATTACCTAGTAATGTGGAACAGAAATGTTCAGACCCTACCTTCAGAGAGTCAAATTTAATTGATAATTCTAAGAATATCTAGGAATGGGAGCCAGAAATTAAGTTCATATGAACTTAGAGACTTTTATCGGTTTACTTCATAGCCATCCCACCGATACTGATGTTTGTAGCAGTCTAGACCAATTACTAGAAATCTCAGAGAAGATGAGTAGAATCAAGGGGAAAGCCAAAGTTGATAAGGGAAAAAGAAGAACTTGAACAATCGGCCTGGATGCTCTTGAGTTCCCTGACTCTACCTAGGTCTTCTAATGAATCTTGGAAACGGTTACAGTGACCCAGCTGCTGTGTGCCACATCTGAATTGAGAATGATCACAAAGAACTGGGTTTACAGGGTGGAAAAAGACCTGTGTTCTTGTGAGCAGCAAGGCAAGAAAAGGAAATAAATTTTAAAAGACAGAGAGATAGCACGGGGAAAGAGCCACAGCATGTGGAGAGGGCTTACACTGCGTGAATCCTCTGTGCACACTATTGCATTTCATGAGCTGTGATTCATTGGCTGCAGAAATGAGCTGAGTCCCAGCCAAACTGAAGCTTTAGGTGAGAGTCTGTTTGCATACCACTACAGTTGAAGCTCACAGACAGTACTGAGAGCTTTCTTTAGCGAAAAGGACTCTGTCTTGGAGCATTTGCCTGGTTTTAGTTCAAGTTTATGCAATGAATCCTCATGTAATTGAGGTCCTCCTTAAAGTTGACCAGATAATAGTGTATGTACACCTTTTCTAGTAAGACGCTTGCAATATTAGAAAACTGGGTTGTAGTAGGGCTGGGAAAGACCAATTGGATAATAAAAATCGAGTAAAAACATGTATTGAAATTTCCAGTGAAAATATTCCTTTCCTTCATTATGAAATAAATATTTGAAGGGTTAGGGAGATGGCTGAGTTGGGACAGTGCCCGCCAGAGCAAGCATGAAGACCTGAGTTTGGATCCGTAGCATCCAGGTAAAAGTCTGTGCAATTCACACTTCCATACTTCTTGTCTATAATTCCAACCTCCCTATAGCTCATTGGCTAGCCAAGTCAGCCAATTGGTGAGTTTTAGGTTCAGTGAGACACCATGTCCAAACATACATATAAAAACCACCTACATAACACAAAAAATGAAAGAATGGATGAAGAAATTAAAAATAGATCTTCAGTATATTAATTATTTAAGAATTAGAATCACATAATTTTAATTTTTACATATGAGGTACACATTAAACTTACTTTTAAAGCATAAGATATATTTTTATTTCATAACCAAAATATTATATTTTAAAAACTGATTTTGGTTCATGGTTTAGAAGGCATAAAAATCTAGGTGTAAAACTTTAGGATCTCACCTAGAAGAGTTATCCAGGCCATAAAAAGAAAAAGGCAGCCTTGACAGTGACTAGAAAGAAGGCTCACTTACCATTTTTCAAAGAAAGAATATTTTCACACTTATTTTATCTAGGGAAACTTTGATGCCTCTAATAAAAACATGTGCTGAAATCTCCAGTGATACTTCCAACTTAATGAACTTACAATGTGTACCAATGGCTCTCAAACTTTAGCATGCATCAAACCCACCTGAAGAACTTGCAGTGGAAATACAGTATCTGATTCCATAGATTTGAGAAGAGGCTCAAGAATGTGTACTTGTCACAAGTCCCACATGATGCTAATGTTGCTGGTACAGGGTCAAGATGACAGGATCTGGAATCACCTAGGAGACAAGCATCCAGGCACACCTGTTATGGATTATTTTGATTAGATTATCTTCTGACCATGCTTATGAGGGAATATGTTGATTAAGGTAATTGAGGTGGGGAGATCCACTATAAAAGTGGGTGGCACCATTTTCTGGGTTTGGGTCCTGGTCATCATAAAAAAAGACAAGGCTTGCTGAACTCAGTGTGTTATCACTCCTTGCTTCCTGACTGCATATATAATGTCACTAGCCACCTCAAGTTTCTGCCACCATGATGGACTATACCCTTGAACTGCAAGCAACATAAACGCTTTCTTCTTTAAGTTGCTATTGTCAGGGTAATTTGTCACAGTAACTAAGACAATCACACAAAAGCAATTGGTTACCCTCATGATATCCATACCACGTTGTACCAGTGGATATGTCCTACAGGTCACTCATTATTGTAGCTCTCACAGAACTCAGCTGGGTATTACTGTTGCTGATTTTTCTCCTCTGACAGCAAACATAGCACATTCAATCACTATGAAAGCTATACATTGGAAATGAAGCTTTCAGGTCAGTTCCAGCTTGATTTCTCCATATTCTATGACTCAAGTGTGAAGTGTCTTCACCAATGGGGTCTTACCATCATTACTGCTTACTAATTTACTGACCTCAATGGATAGTCCAAATGAAACATGCAAATCTGAGTATCCAAATGTAGTATCAATAAATTAAAGGAAACATACAACATTTATTGTTCTGGGCCTCAGATACCCAACTCAGAACGATTATTTCCAGTTCTATCCATTACCTGTGAATTTCATAATTCCATTTTTCTTAATAGCTGGATGATATCCTACTATGTTAATATGCAACATTTTTTCATTATCCATTCATTAGTTGGTGGGAATCTAAACTGTTTTCATTTCCCAGCTATTATAAGCATAATAGCAATGAACATGGATGAGAAGATATTTCTATACTAGAATGGGGAGTTCACTGAGTATATGCCCAGGAGTAGTACAGCTGGATCATAAAGTAGATCTATTTCTATCTTTTTGGAGAATCTACATACTGATTTCCAAGGAGGCTGTAGGATTTTTGCACACCCACAATCAGTGAATAAGTACCCCCCTTTCCTCATACTCACTCTAGAATTTGTTATCATTTTTTAAAATCAGCCATTCTGACTGTGTTTAGGTGAAATCTCAAGTTAGTTCTAATTTGAATTTCCCTGATGGCTAAAGATGTTAAACATTAAAAAAAAATTCTTAGGCATTTTATTTCATCTTTTGAGAACACTCTGATACCCACTTCCACTCTCTTGTTCAATTCAGTACTTGAAGTCTTAGCTAGGACAATAAGACAAAGGAAGGAGACAAAGGAGCTGTAACTAAGAAAGGAAGAAGTCCAAGTAACCTTTACCTGATTAAAATTTTGTTGCTGCGTGTGTGTGTGTGTGTGTGTGTGTGTGTGTGTGTGTGTGTGTGTGTATAAGGGTGGACCAGATTGTTCATAGCAGCAATGGAATTGAGAGCTTCCTACATTCTGTGTACAGAAACTCATCTCACAAACATGCATTAGTAACATAAGGGATGTACATAAGGAACCCATAACTAGGAAGCATAATTCTTATTCTAAAGAAAAATAGAATGCATTGGGATCACACAAATCGTGTGGAATCTGGAATTTAGCATGATAAACCTGGAGCACAGTGATTTCCAAAGCATGGGCTCTGCAGATAGGGGGTAAGGTGTTTACGGTGGTTTGTCATGGCCCCGCTTCATGTGTCCAGTTCTCTCTGCCTGCTGCAGTGAGTGATAAGGACAGTATTTTGTGTGAGACCTGCTCCCCACTGATAGCATATGATGTGCATTATCTAGCGGCACAGAACGTTAACACAGATCTCCAGTTGTCAAAAGATACATAATAAGGGATAAATATGTCCAAATGTGTATCAGAAGTTTAGGACAGTCCTTGAGAAAACATGATTTGTTTTAAACATTTGTCAAAGCCATAAATTGACTTCCCTGCTCCTGTGGGACGGCAGACCCAGCTTTACTGAAGATGTAGAAACTCTGTCCTGGTACGCCAGCTCACTGTTCAGGAGAAAGAAACAGATTACCACACAGTTGCAACAAATATTCATTGAAAATTAATTGATCATATCCTTTGTTCAAGAAGATATGCCAAATGCCACAGAAAATAACAAACATTGACATAAAAGAGTTCACTGTTCTGTAGGTGAGAAAAATAAGAAATGTGATCAATCCATTGGTATTACAGGGCATTTTGAGGGGATAATGAGGCAACATCAGAAGCAGTTAAGTGTAATTTCCAGAATCTTGTTCTGCTCAACCCAACTCTTTGGAAGTAGAGGGTGACGAATGAGGCGTTACTAGTAAGGGGCACATCCATGTGGGGACAGATCATATCATCGCAAGCACACACAGCAGGGAGTGTAGCTTCCATCTGTTAGAAGCTGCGACTGAATTATGAAGAAACTTTGCTTTATTCTGGAGATGTTGGGAGAAGCTATTTAAAAACTTTCTGCAAATATTGACATAACAAGATTTGTCCTTTTTAGGGATCACATATTGAGTGATGAGGAGAGAGGATGATTAGGGACACCAGATGATGAATGCTAAGGGTTGGAAAGGGACTAGTCAGTGAGGGTGGGCCTGATGCTATTGGATAACTTTTCATTTTTACTGATAGAATGTTTTTCTTCTGAAAAAAATAAAAATAAGTCAAATTTTATATACTGGTGACTTTTTAATTGGGGTGTTTATAGAATCCAGTGACAGTTATAAATAGTATACATTGTTGGAACTGCATTTTAGTTCAAGAAAGGAGAACAAAGTAAAACTTAGCACTACCTCTGAGGCACTTTGGAATCCTGCAATATTTTAATGCATGATTGGTTATCCTGGATTAGCGCCACAGTAGTAAAGGATGGGTAAGCACGTACAGTCCTTTCCTGTGCTTTTAAAGTCTCTATATGCATCAACCAGAACACACAGCCGGTAATTGTGCTAAGACAACAACCCAGCCTGCCTGAGCTTTTACCCCCTATTCTGTGTGGCCTAACTAAACTAAGTGTTTCAAAATAATGAAAGAAAAGAAAAGAAAACCAACAGTCCATTTAGTATTCCAACAAAAGTACAGTTAACAATAATTTTGTTCTAAAAATAACTTATTTGTTTCCACAGACAAAAAAGCCACAAGCTGTTGTAGGCAGCAGTCCTCACTAACGACAGCTGCTCTGCTTTGTGCAACTTCCCACAAGCACACAGAGTTAATAGCAATTAGAGTAGAGGAGGAAAAATTATTTTGGGTAACATAACATTTGACAAGTGCTTTAGTAAATAAAGTATTGCCAAGCAGCTAAAATATTTTCACTTTGCTAAAACTTTTCTGGCTTCCTGTGCTGGCTTCTCTGGAAGGTGTAAACTGTGAGTTGGAAATTGATGAATGTGGATCCCAGCCCTGTCTACATGGTGCCACATGTCAGGATGCTCTCGGGGCTTACTTCTGTGACTGTGCACCTGGATTCCTTGGAGATCACTGTGAATTCAACTTTGATGAATGTGCCAGTCAGCCGTGTCTCCATGGAGGTCTGTGCATGGATGGAGGAAACAGGTAAGTGTTCTATACATGAGTGATGGGCTTTCAGAGACCAAGCACTATTGTATAACTGTGGTGAATTTCAAGCTCTCATGGCCTCCATTTGAGTTGCAAATTACATCAAGTAATGAAAAGTTGCAGCATTCTGATTTTACTAAAACAACAACAACAAAATATTCGGTGGACATCTGAACTAAGTGAAGGTTTTCCAGGGCACCCTTGTAATGGTTGAGAAGTACATGTATCATAGAAAAGTATCAACATCTAAACTCCATGTAATAAACCTGTTATAGATAAGGAAGATGCAAAAGCAAGGCTATCAATTGTTAAAATTTTGAACATAAGGTTTATATTTATGAAAATAAGCAAATAAATCAAATAGAAAAGTAAATCCTTCAGAATTTGTCTATAAATTCTGCTGCAAGAGCAATGATACTAAATTGGTATATCTTGGTTTTCCAGGTGTTTGGGGAATTGGGTGAATTTATTTGAGGAAGCATAATTATCAGAAAGTGTAACTCAATTCTCCTCCAAATATGAGTCTCTCATTGGTTTTTGGGGTAAAGGGCAACACTAAATTATATCTTTGTGTGATAAATATAATTAATTAGTATAGTGATGGCTGAGTTCATATCCAATAATATATCCCTATGAAGAACGTTCATACTTGCTTAAGCTATGAACACAGAACTGTCAAGTGGAGAGCAACATTTAATAGCATTGAACTTAGAATTTGATAACAGCCCTGTGGGAAGCATGGTGAGCATGACTGTTCCCAAACTGTAATATATACCATTCCTTAATTGTAATAAGGAATCTGAAGTAAAGAGACGGTAGATGCTCCCATGAGTTTCACATCATTAAATTCTTGTAAAAGTAGAAATAAAATCATTTTTCCTCTTTTTAATAAATCAGACATGGGGCTAAGGATTTAGTTCAGTGGTAGAGTACATGCCTAGAGTGTGCAAGGCCATGGGTTCAATTCCCAATAGCACACACAAAAAGAATGTCATAACTTACTTCAAATCTAATTTCAAAATGACTAAAACTCAAAATGAATATAATGAAAGGCATGTGTGCTTCAAACATAGCCATAAGTTATTTAATAAGATAATAAGATTTTTAAATAGAGCAGTGAGATTGAACATTTCTTTTTAAAAATATGAAGCACAATTTTAAATCATACCCTATGTCTTCATTTGACTTTTCCTTGCAACCAAACAATGAACCTGTGATGGGAATCTATACTCCTGGCGTCAGCTAACCGGATACCCCAGAGACGGGGAGGTTAGAATGACTGAAACTTCCAAGGGAATGAAAACTCTCTACAGTGGGTACTGCTCTGTCTAGAAAGCATCAAGGCAGATAACACAAGGATTTTGGTTCTGATGGGAAGGCTCACAGGCTGGAAACTTGTACCCTTTATTCTCTGCTCTTAAAGATGCCATGATTCATTTCTTCATTTTACTGTTGTATCTCTCAATACCTAATTTTTGTGAGGATCAACCAATGTGGTTTGAGTTTATTTTTACACAATAAAAATTAACACCTTTCCTATAACTCATGTGAGAAAATTGATTCTTACATACCAAATGACTTTCAAATGGGATCTCTATTTCTGTGAACTTAGATGGTGCTCCTTTAATATAGGACACATGTCTCTAATGTCTCACATAGAGAAGATTATTATTTTTTAACAGCTTGTTTATAGTTAGCCTACAGGTGGCATACTTTTTTCTTTTAAGTATTTATTTATTTACTTTTTAATTATGTGCATTGTATGTATACAGGTGTTGAGGGAATGTACACATGGGTACAGGTGTTTAAGGAGGCCAGAGGTGTCAGATTCCTTGAAGCTGGTTGTGAACCACCTAACATGGGTGCTGGGAATGGAACTCAGGTCCTTTGGAAGAACAGTACATGCTCTTAACCACTGAGCCATATCTCTAGCCCTATTATCACCATCATCATCATTGTCATCGTCGTCGTCATCATCATCATCATTATTATTATTTATGTGTGCACGTGTGTGCGTGCATGCGTGTGTGTGTGTGTGTGTGTGTGTGTGTGTGTGTGTGTGTGTGTTAGGGTAAGTGCCTGTGTCACAGTACACATGTGGAGATCCAGGAATAACAAATCCATGAAGTTCATCCTCTCCTTCTGCATTATGTGGGGTTGTGAGTTGAACTCAGGTCCCCAGACTTGCACAGCTAGAGTTTTCATGTGCTGGGCCATCTTTCTGGCTCTATTTTTTTTTAACAGTTTTAATTAAACAAAACCATGAATAGATTTTTTTCTAACTATTTGAGACATAAAACCAATTTCCCTTGCATTCTACCATTTCTAGATCCTTAAACAGTCCCCTATCCATGCTTGGTGATAAATGCACAGTGCCATAGGGAATGGTTTGTAAGTGTTCTGTGGTTGAAGCATCTCCTCAAAACACCATTTCTATTTCACCTAAGTGTGCAGATCCACTTTTAATTTTCATGACACTAAATCCTTGAGGAGATATCACCTAAATGTAAAGCCTCCTTAAATAAAATTTCAACAACTCACCACACCAGATTGAATTTTGTCACTGTGAAATAGTTGTAGTCAATAAGTGATTAGAAATAGAAAAACTAAAATATTGGTATAATCAAAAAACAACAGACACCTTCATCACAACATACTTAAGAGTGATTCTATTGAGTGAAAAAAAAGTTTGATTTTTATAGTAGACCTTATTTGGTGTGAACTGTTACCTGCTAACTTCAAAATATTAGTAATTTCATTTACTATACTATTAGTAACTTAATACCCTGATATACTTAAGATGTTGTTTCTATTTTTTTACATATATGTAATTATCACTATGATCTTATCACCTAAGTCTTTAATTTATGCCTGATGAAACTGGCTTCCAAATAATGTCACATGGAGCTTTACTGTCATTTTTTTTAAAATCAGTAATAATAAGGCGTTTTTATGGAAACACATAACCATTCAGGTCTACAGAAATAGCTCCATGGTGCTTTTGAGGTCAGTGTGAAGGCTATGCCACTGGGGTCAGGTTGATGGACAAGTAGAGACAAAATAAAGAAGGTCAGTTTCAGGATGACCAAAAGTTGACATGAAATTTTCATTTACTATCTAGCTACCATTGTGACTGCACAGGTAGTGGATTCACGGGGACGCATTGTGAGACCTTGATGCCTCCTTGTTGGTCAAAGCCTTGTCACAATAATGCTACCTGTGAAGACACCATTGACAGCTACATCTGTCACTGCTGGCCTGGTAAGTGACAAATACCTTATCATTTTTTTCTTTATACTTGGACTAGAAACAAGTTGCTTATAGAAATTAAACTAAATATTCTTGCCATCAAAGGCATTAAGCCAATGCTTTATTCAGCTTTACATATTGTGTTGCACTCTTCATTGCCCACACAGTATTGGCACTATACTGTACACTGTGTAAGACAGGTAACTAGAACTGTCTAGGTCCAGAAACACAGCAGTGGAAGGTGGAATTCCACATGGCTTTCATGAAGAAACATTCACTGGGATGGTTTCTTTTCATCTACCTCTTCTCAGGCACCGGAAATGTATAACTACACTCCAATATGTTAACCTTCTAAGAGGTTGTCTTGTCTCTTAGAAAATTCATGCAGTTAGTCAATCTCATAATTCATGCAGTTAGTCAATCTCTCATAATACGGGAGTCAAAAGTTCATTTATAATTCTGATAGAGATCCAGTATACAAAAAAATACAAGTTTTGGTACATTAAGGTACTTGAATAAAATTTTATTAAAGGGAATATTACCATTTAGAAAATATGACTAGAAATATATCATAAATGGACTCACTGACTCAGAGACTTTGGACAAGTGTCTTAGCCACTCTTCAGACTGATTTTTCACTTATAAAAGAAAGGTGTTGACATTTGATATCCACCTCCTTGAGCTATTTTAGAAAAAACACCAGTAATAAATATAAAGATCTTAGTTCAGCTTACAACATAGAAAACTCAATAAACACTTAATTAGTTAGTAAAATTAGGAGGTTGATCATTCCATGCCCTGACTAGCCACCAAGCAGCATACTACTTACTTTAGGAAAGAAGTGAGGGAGGGAAGAAGGAAGGGACAGGAAAGAAACAAGAAATGTGGTAGGCACACCTAGAAAGGGCCCTGTCCTGCTGTGGAACTTTGGGTGACTGTTCAAGACATTTGACTATGTTGACTGGTGTCAGTGAGGTAGAGAGGAAGGCACTCAGATCTCAGAGATACTTCTCTACCTTCCAAATTATGCGTCAGGGAAGTTACATATTGTGGTGGTTTGAAAGAAAATGGCCCCCAAAGGGAGTGGCACTATTAGGAGATATGACCTTGTTGAAGTAGGAGGGTCTTGTTGGAGGAAATGTGTCACTGTAGGGGCAGGCTTTAAGGTCTCATATATGCTCAAGCCATGCCCAGTGAGACAGACCATATCCTGCTGCCTGCTAGATGTAGGACTCTCAGCTACTTCTCTAGCACCACATCTGCCTGCCCATCGCCATGTTCCACCACGCGGATAATGGACTGAACCTCTGAACTGTAAGACAGTCTCTCCAATTAAATGTTTTCTTTTTTCACCCTTTCTAAGAGTTGTCTTGGTCATGGTGTCTCTTCACAGCAATAGAAAACCTAATGAAGACATATAACCCGAGCTGTTCATTTGCAAAGCGTTCTCTTACAGCTTAGTGAAAGCTGGCTGAGTGAAATAAAACTGAAGATGAGAGAGATTTTTAAACAGAACCGAGTCACTTGCCAGAACTAAGATGACAGTTGTAGGATGTGGAGGGGAGGATGGGTCGTTGTTATGATTTGAATATAAAATGTCCCCCACAGCACAAACTCAGGGGGACATTTCAGAAATGAGGCCCAGCTGGTCAAAGAGGGGCACAAGAAGTAGTTCTTCAAAGATCGTTTCTAGCCTTTAGTCCTTACCACCGTGACACGTTCTTACCACCCCAACTGAGACACTTCCCCCATGCCTTTCCCTACTGTGATGGATCGGGAGCCTCTGAAATTAGGATCCAAAACGATCCCTTCCTCTGTTATGTTGTTGCTGGAAGTATTTCCATCACATCTATGAAGAACTAACTTACATAGAGGCCACAAGGGTCACATGGGAGGTGAACGACAGGAGGAGAGTCAGCATATTAAGAATCTGCGTTCCTATCTCAGGTCACTGTGTGGACGGTGGGTTACCCTAGAGAGAAAAGTAAGCATGTCTTTATACCCTGTGCTCACTGTTGTATACAATGAGATTTAATGCTACAAGCTACCTTATAAGTAAGAAAGGACTGGAAAACCAGTGCTAAAGAACACATTGGCAAGGACCACTGCTGTATTTGTCTAAAGTCCTTATTTCAAAAGTAGATAATTTTAAGAAGTATCCATCAACTTAAATGTTTATCACAGAAACTTTCCTGAAACTCAGATGTGATTGGATATGTGGATAAAAGACAAAAAACAAAATCACAACCCGGAGGATCTGATTCGGTATCATGTTGTTTCTTTGTACAGAGATTTATAGAGAAACTTGTTAAAAATATTGACTGTGGTCTTGACTGAAGGAATCTATTTATATCTGGTTAAAGAGAACAGCAACTAAAATTCCCCCAGAGCATTGGTGGTGTGGACAGAGCTGGCAAACACATAAATCAGAACGTCCCCCCTGCTCCTGATTCAGTGAGATAATGCATGAGCCGGAAAAGCAGGGAAGGATTTATTATGGTCCTAAATCTCTTCCTAACTTGGCTGGTGTGTGAGTCTCGAGTCTTAGAACACAAAGAATATTACAAACAGCCTGTGCTTTTTTTTTCCAGAAAGTCCACTGTAGCAAACAAATCCTGATACATTGGAACCTATTGAGAAAACTATTGTTTAGTAACAATTTATAAGTATGTAAGCATGAAGTGGAAGTATTTGAAAAGCAGGCATTCTCACTGAAGAGATTCTGAGGGTTCTTTTGGGGAGCTCTCCATTAAGAATTGTGAGGTCTCTATTTGACATGTTTCTTAGTTCCTTTATCCAATGCTTGAGTTTCTTCTTCAGATTGTTGAGAAAGGCCCCAAGGGTTACATGAAATAAATATTTTAGACTGTAGTGCAAGAGGATTTATATTGTGGTTATTATTTGAAATAGGATCCACTCAGGTTTTTATTAGAGTTACAAAATGAGCAATAACATTGTATTCTCATTACTGGCTCATTAATAGTTAATTCTCTAGTTATATACCAAGCTGGTTATAATTTAAGTTGTTGTCATTTTAACCATTAATTAGTACTATTTATTCTCACTCAGTCATTGATTGAAGGTCAAACTATTTATGTATTGCTGGGTAGTGGAGTGTTGAATAAAATACACACAATCTGTTGAGGCAATCAACTATACATGCAAATAAACACATCGTTAAAAGTTGTCAAAAGAGCAATGGAAGAAAAAGACTGAGGAACAATGACAGGAGACCAAGGCATCTTATTGTGTTGTGATCTGAACAACAGAGAAAAGTACCCAATGGGGTAAATCACTCAATGTCCAGTGTCTGGGATCCACTAATGTTCTTTGGGGCTCCTCCAAAGGGCACAGGACACTTTCTCTGGCTCTGCTTGCTGCAAAACACACACTGTCTCCTAGGCTCTCGCTGGCTTCACTCCACACCTGTGACTTGCCTTAGTTGTATCCCATGGTACTGACATCTCCAGATGCTGGGATCTGCTGCAACTGTGCTGCACTCTCACATTAGCCTCTCCTAGGCTTTCTTCGGGTAACTCCAGTCCTGCCACACAGTGCCAAACCTCAGGTGCTCTCTGTGACCCTTCATGCCTGCAAAACCAGTACCACCTGGGGTGACTCTTATACTACCAAGTTCCGTTGCAGGCATAAAGTATAATAGTGGTCACATCTGGAGCACAGTTTCAATATGTTGACTCTAAGGAAACGCTTCTCTGAAGATTCCACTTCCATGATGCTGGTCACCTCTGTGCTGGAAGTTTTCCTGTACCCAGCCCAGTCCCACAGCTGCTTGGCCCAAGTAAACACACAGAGGCTTATATAAATTACAAACTGTAGACCTACGGCTCAGGCTTCTTACTAGCTAGCTCTTACAACTTAACCCAATCCTATTAAACTATGTTTTGCCCCTACATCATGGTTAGTCACTGCTAATTTCTCAGTTCCAGCTAACCAGCATCAATTGTCCCAGTAAAGCAATGAAGATTTTTACTTCATTTGACTTGGTATCTTGTTATCCTTCAGCCCCAGCTAACCAGAACCACAGATTCTCAACTCAAAATAGCAAACAGTCATTAAGAGACTTGTAAACTTCCCTCTGAAACGTCAGGAGACAGGCTCTGTTTTCTTCATTTCTCTCAATATTCTTATCTTCCAAGCTCCCACCGAACAGCCTACCAAGCTTTAAACACTGAACAGCCCAGAGTCCAAATTCCTTCTGTAATCCTCCCCAAAACAATGTGGTTAGGTCTGTCACAGAGATCCCCCACTATACTGGTACCAATTTCTGTCTCAGTTACTCGGAGCTTTAAGGGGTACCTTAGAGTTTCTAATACTGGGATGAAACATCATGACCAATGCAAGTTGGGGAGCAAGGGGTTTGTTTGGCTTACATATCCACATCTAGTTCATCATTGAAGGAATATAGGGCAGGAACCTGGGGACAGGAGCTGCTGCTCCTTCTTCTCTGATGACTCTAACCTGTGTCGAGTTGACATAAATCAGGCTAGCACAAGGGACTCAAGGCTGGCTGTGTGGATATGGCAGACTTTTTAGATACTGTCTTAGTTTCAATTTTTAAAAGAATTATTTGCTAAACTAGTATACATGGTTTTCCGTTCCACCAGTGTTCAGATTAAATCATAGTTACCTTGAAATTGCCTTTTATTTCAAGCCTTACTAATGAAACCTTTCTAAAAATGTTGAACAAAGTCATACATCTTCTAGAATTCATTATGTATCCCTTATCCATTGCTACTGGAATCTATTTCCATGTAGCATCCTCTTATCGACTTCTCCTGCTAGCTTTTCCAGGGTGGGCATCTTGCTAATTGGCACCAGCACAGTGGTCAGCCTCCTCTCAGACATGTGCCTGGCATTTCCCAGGCTTTGGCTCAGCAGTTTCTCTGAACTTTCATCCTGCAGGATACACAGGTGCCCTGTGTGAGATGGACATAAATGAATGCAGTAGCAACCCCTGCCAATTTGGGGGTGAATGTGCCGAACTGTCCTCAGAGGATCTCTATGGACACATTGCTGGCCTGCCTTCCTCCTTCAGCTACCTTGGAGCCTCAGGCTATGTTTGTATGTGTCAGCCTGGATTCACAGGTGAGGCTAATGAAATGAGAAATGACTCCTTGTGTTTTATGGCAGAGAATGGATGCAACTAAATGGCTGTTTAGAAGTAAGACCTGTGCTGTGTAAACTCTGGTGCCATGGCACAAAGGGTCCCCCTTGTGGGCATGAAAAATATCTTGGATCACATGTAACTCCTTAACTCATGGGGGAAATGTAAAGAATGGGCATGGAAATGAATAAAATGGGAACCATTTTACTGAGAATTGCTGACCATTTCAAATTCTTTACTCTAGAAGTGACTGAATTTGAGAATTTTTTATGGTTTGTTCATATTTTCTGGCAAAGTTATTATAGTTATGTATATGTACACAAAGAACAATTATCCAGTTTCAAATAATCTTGCTCAACGGTTCTGCAGCTAAAGTCAGTTAACTCATCAAACTTCAGCGGCTGCTCTTTCTTTGGAAGCACCTTCTCTAAACCCCAAGGCCATGCGTGTCTATTTTCCACTTAAAAGAGGCATTTGTATCTACTGTGTATTATGAAACTTTCAGAACTTTTGAAACAGCCCCTCAAATTGTTAATAAGTAGTGATTTACCCACAGCTGCTAGATACCAAAGAGAAAGATAATCACAATCTAGGCGTCTACCCCATCTTTTTCTCCATAGATTAAATATGTGCTTCGGGAAATACTTTAGCTGCTGTTGAGAATGTCTGGGGAAAGCTTATGATGAATGGAAACAAATGAGGTCCACTTACACCTAGGATTCCCTTGATTTTACTATCTCATGTTTGAAGATGATGGACTTTGATTTTGGATGGCACTTTTGTCTGGTTGCTATAGAAGCTTTGTCTTGTGGCAGCATCAGGATATATTACCTGATCAATTTCTAACATGCATGCTTTTACCTTAATTTTCAAAGGGTATGAACATAAATCTTGTGATGTGTCTTATTTTTCTATCATGTTGTCATGTAGAAATCAATATGAAGTTTAAACATGTAGGTTTGTCTGTAATATATTTATGTAGTTACCTCACCCTTAGAAATATTTCATTATCTCATTTCCATTTCATACTTTTATTTCCTTTAAAACTTACCCGATTTTGGTATATTGATGCATTAGGCAACTATTTTGCATTCTTCTTGGAACAAAGTAGTGATTATATTTCAAGGATCCCAAATATTAAGTTTTGGATTACAGAAAGGAGATTCAATAAGAGTGAGAAGCCATTGTTCTATTGCCTTATCAGAAAAACAACATGGCTGAACAAGATATAGAATGTTCTGGAAAGGTTGGATTTAATTATGGAAAAGAATGAGTGTATGAGTTAAAATGTCCTAGCTGCCCCCAGTTTCTGTGGATGAATGAATTAGTATTTTTTACCATGTGAACTCTAAAATTGTGTTCCCATCATCAATCTTCCCCCCAAGGTGATTCAATGATAAAGTCCTCATGCTTTTGCACAGTGAGCCAGTGGAGAAGGAGAGTGGAGTGTCTGTGGCTTTTATGGGCCAAGTAATGACCAACCCTTCTTCCCACATTCATTGGTCAAAGTTCACTCATAAACCACATCTAACTATACAAAGAATGAGAATCGTTCCCTGCTGTGTGTCTGAAACAAAGAAAAGCAATTTCCATGAGCAAGTGTTCACTGTGAAACGACAGCCAGACATGGTGGGATGAGGTACAAGCTGACACTGTTTACTTCTGCTATTCCAAGTCCCACTTTCAGTGCTAATTTATTTTAGTTTCCTTCCAGCTTCTTAAATCAACCCCTTTAGATAGTAATCACACACTGTTTTAGGAAAGAAAGGAAAGGCTCATGTACAATTTGCCAAGTTCCCCCAAGGAAACCTTTTGTATTTCCACCAGCACTATGTGAGTGATTGGGTTCTTCAAATTTCATTAGTCTTTGATTGTTGGCATTGTTAAAATATTCTCTGTTCTGATAGATATCTAGTGATATCTCATTACATTTTGAATTTCCATTTATTTAATGACTAGTGATGTTGAATAGTTGTCCCCGTGCTTATTGACACATGTTTAAGCAAAATGGCTCCATGACTTCACAGAGTTTCTTCTTAAAGTATTTGTCTCTTGATTAATTTCCACGTACAGACTGTAGGCACTTTCATTGCTAAGTTATACCTTTTGAAGTTGCACTTAGTATTTAATTTTCTTTACAATGATTGTATATAGCATTATATTTTAAATTTCATTTCTACACATTCACTGTAGTATTTAAGTAGAAGGACTCCTGCCTGCGTCTTTCATCTTGGGTCTTGGGCTCAAAATGCTTCCTTACCAAGAAACAAAGGGTGCTGTGAACCCCTATTCTGCTATTGTTGAATAGAGCTCTCTATATGTCAATAAGCAAATTAGGTGATTATATCCATGCAAGTTATTGCTAATTTGTTGTCAAATTTAAGCTTATGTTGCTGATAGCATTGCCTTGTCTTTTTTTAATGACTTTAGAATTTGTATGATTTCCGTTTTATTCCTGGTTTCAATATTTTGCATCTTCTGGGTTTTTTTGTCCATTTTCTTATATGTATTTATTAATTTTGTTCCATTTTTGTTTGTAAAGATTTTTTTGCTTAATTCATTTTTCTATTTTCAATTTTGTTGGGTTTTGCTCTTTATTTGGCTCTCCTTTCTGCTTTCTTTGAGTCATTTGCTTTTTGCCTTCTAATATGAGCATTTAAGAATATAAATTAGAAAACTTAACTCTCATTACTGTCCTAGGAGCATCCCACACAGTCATGTATGTGCACTTTTTCATTTTATTTCACCTTTCCTGTATGTTTCTAAAATTTACTTTGGGTATTTCTAAGTGTGTAATTCTGTCATTCTGCTATTGATTTATAGTTTTATTCATCAGGATTATAGAACACATTCTATGATTTCAAGTATTTCAAAATTTGTTCAGGTTTGCATGTGTCTTGGTGCCTGTCTTTAGATTTCTGAAGAAAAAGGTACTCTCTGTGTTACTGAGTATGAATATCTATGTATATCCACTAGATCCTGTTGATTGTGTTGCCCACATATTCTGTACCTTTACCAATTTCCTGTCTGGACAGCTTACTACTCACTTAGAAGACAGAAGTGAAATCTCTGCCTACAATGGCAGATTTGTGTTTCCTCTTTCTGCTCTAATAAGTTTTGTTTCCTGTATTTTTGAGGTTTTGAGGCTCTGTTGTTTGGCATTCATTTTAAAGTCATTGTCTCTCCATGGGGGTTGATCCTTCTGCCATTATACAATGCTCCTTGTCTGGTGTATGTATTTAATTTCACATCTACTTTATGTAATATTACTGTAACCATGACTGGGATTTTAAAACTTAGGTTTGCATGTTATATTTTAACCTACTTTTCCATTCTTGACCTACCTGTGCCATTGAATTTGCGGTTCCTTGTAAACAGCACATTAAACAACGTGTTATTGAGTTGCTTTTAAATTTTTATCTCTGCCTTGTAGTTAGTATATTTAGATCATTTGACTTTTTAGTATATTAGAGATAATCTAATCTTTGCTTTCTGTTTGATTGCTGTTTTCTTTATGACCTCCTGTGAGTTACTTGACAAACATTTAAGATTCCAACTTGATTTTATTTATCACGTGTTACATAAATTTTATGTTCATCATTTTGTGCTTGTCTTATCAGTCTTCCACTGCTCTGAGGTGAAGTACAGAAATGTAACATCTACTTAGGTCCTTTCAGTCTCCTGTCTTTGGGGTATCGTTGCTTAGAGGATCAGATGATGTTACAATTTTGATTTTAATCATTAATGTGATTTAGAAAAATGATATTACCTATATATTGTTCTTTATTTTTTTCTTCCTCCTCAAAATTCTTCTTTGTTCATTTTTTTTTCTCTTCACTAACAAGCTTCAAATTTTAAGGGTGACTCACTGTTAGAGACAACATCTTTTATTTTTCTTGTCTAAGAAAGGCCTACTGTCCACTCATCCTAGAAGGAGAATTTTGTTAAATACAGACTTTCCTTATAACAGTTAATTGGAATTTGAAAAAGTGTATATTACCTTCTTCTGAACTCTATAGTTTCTTTTTAATACAATACTTTTAACTTACTCTTTGAGAATTTCAAGCATGAATACATTGTATTTGGATCACATTCACCCTCCCACTCCAACTCTTCCTAGAAACCTTCCCCAACATGTCTCAGCTGATTTCATGCCATGTCCCATCCCTCTTAAATCACTGAGTAAATCCATGCTATCCATATGCACTTTGATATGAGCTACGAACGAGAGCATGGTCCAATCTGCCAGAGGCCATGTTCCTAATGGAAGCTGACTCTTTCTAATAGCAGCCATAGACTGTCAATAGATATTCAGCAAGGGATTGGGGCTCATGTACCCCTTTTCCATCAATGCTGCAATGTTAACTGGCTTGATCTTGTGCAAGTCTTGTTCAGTTAACGAAAACTCCTGTGTGTTTAGGAGGAAAACAGTCCTGTCTTATCCAGAATAGTGTTCTACCCTAGTCCACTCTGACCTCTAACTCATAATCTTTTTGACTGCTCATCTGTGATGTTCCCTGAGTCTTGGGGAGAGAGTGGGTGAATTTATATATCTCATTTAGTACATAGTATTCCCTAGATCTTCATTGTTTATACTTTTATCAGTTGTGAGTCTCTGTATTAATTACCCTTCACCACATAAAGAAGATTATCAGATGAGAACTGAAAGCCATGCTAAGCTAAGGGTAGAAAGACACAAATTTTAAGACAGTTTGCTGCTGGATAGTAGCAGGCTCACCCTGAGCCTGTAAGTTTTCCAGATAAGAATTCTTGGCAGGCTTTACCATGCCAGGCATGATTTTCCTTCTGTGAATAGGCCTTAAATCCAATCAGAAAGCAGTTGGTTATCTTTATGACATTTATACCAACCACTATTGCACCAACTGCCTTATTTTGTCAGGCTGTTCAATGTAGCTTGCAGAGTTTACAGCTGGGTAAATTGTTGATGACTGTTCTCTCCCAGCAGCCTGCATAGTACCTT